TCTGTTGATGGACATTTAGGCTGTTTCCATGTTTTGGCTATTGCAGGCTTCTATGCAAAGAGGTCCACCTAAAAGTGTATTAGCTATTTCTTTGAACTAGGTGAGCTGGAGAAGATAAAGCCAATCCATACCGTTCCTGTGCATCCGATTCTCATGATAGGTGACCATGGAGTTCACGTTGTAACCCTTACGGTACAGATACAGGCTTTGTTATTTTTCCGTTTAGCCAAGCTAAAGTGTTTTTAGATAAAAGTACGCATTATTTCTTCAGTAGCCCTGTGTGCCCAAGGGTTTGTAGTAGGAACCCTTTATAATTTTTAAGCCCTTCCTTTATAATTTTGCATTGAAAAAATTTTTGCATATATAATGCTCTAAGTTTACATATACTCTATCATTTATTAAGTTTTGACCTTGGTATGTATATTTAATATGACCTGAATATTTCTAACTTTTAGAATTCTAAGAAGATTATATTATTCCACTTGACAGTTGAGTATTTAATTGCATCCTATAGGCCAGTGGGTCTCAATTTCTATTAGGGTCACCTAGGGAACTTAAAGAGAAAAAAAAAAGCTGCTCAGAATTAGCATCAAGTCAGAATCGCAGAGGAGAGGGCCCTGATGTCTGTACTTCTTAAAGGTTCCCCAGGTGATTCTGACAGGCAGTCAGGGTTGGAAGGCTCTGTCTTATGGCAAACTTCATTTTTTATGACTTGAGGATATGGATGGAAATGGATGGATTGTATCACTGTAGCCTGCCTGGTTGGTGGGGTCACCTAATTCTGGGTGCATTTGGTCTTCCTGGTGAAGATAATAAGAAATACTACTTTTTCACAGTGTGGTAAATTACCCCTAATTAGTTCAGTGAGGCTCGCATTTTTCGATACCATCTGCGTGTTAATCCTTTGCTACACAAAGCATGGGCTGTGGACCAGTAACATCAGCGTCACCTGGGAGATGGTTAGAACTGCAGACTCTCAAGATCCTCCCTAGACTTCCTGAATCTGAATCTGAATTTTCACGAGATCTTCAGGTGATTTGGTGTAAATGAAAGTTTGAGAAGCAGGTGCTTTCACATGTTCTTTATTTCACTCTGCATCTTCAGTCCCAGTTCACCAGTGAGAAAAATGGAGCTCAGTGGAGCTGGTAACTTGCCTGTGAGGAGAAGGGGTCAATGAAAGGGAATGATCCTCTACCAAAAGGGAAGATGTTTTTTGTGGTGCAAATTCTGATACTGTCTCTGTTGCCTGCTGTCTTCTACCTTTCCCCAACCTTTTGCCCTTGAAGGCAGAGTCATCAGACCTTCTCCCTCAGAGCCTCTCTGGCCACTCGGTTCCCCAGGTGATCGACTCTCAGTGGAGGCTGCCTTGGTGCTATCGGTAGTTTGGGACTGCATCTTCTCTCTGCCTTGATGGTTTTGGCCATTTGATAAGTATGAAATGATAATAATAGTGAGATGTTCTCTAGTAAATCTCTGTCTACATGGCACTAATTAGCATTTCCTCGAATGTGGAACCAAGCAACCACCTGCTTTCCTGTGCGGTGAAAAATCCGGAAAACAGTTGTCTTTTTATTCAGATGTGGTTATCTGAGTCTGCAGGGCTGTGGGCGTGCTGTGCGAATGTCCCTTCAACCACCCTCCTTCACAGGTGTCCCCTGTTGAGCACCTGATGTATACGTATTGCAGTAGTTTTGATTCTTGTGTCTTTTAAAAACTTGGGTTTTTTTTTTCTATTTTTATTGTTTTCCCCGCTTCACAGAGGCACTGAGGGTTGAACCCAGGACCTCGTGCATGCCAATGCACTCTGCCACTGAGCTCTGCCCTCCACCCACTGAGTCTTCTGTCTTAACTTTAACAAAGCTCATAGAGGGAAATGATTTAGCTTTCAGCTTTTATCTGAGAATCAATGATACATTTCTAAGTTGGGAACTTTCATGTTTTACTGGGAGGAAAGAAACGGCAGTGCAGAATGCAGAAGAGTGAAATATTCCATCAGGGTCATGCCAGAGAGACTATAAAAGGGATTCTTCAATTTTAATGACTAAAATAACCCCTTCATTTTTTCACTTTATCAGCATCACGGAGTTCTGGTACTAAATATTGAGTGATTCTATTTCTTCGCCACATTTGGTTTTGCCTTATAGAAGTGGTTCCATACCAGATGGACTGAAAGAGGAATAGTTAACAAGAGGCATCTCATGCAGCCCAGTAAATACCACCAGAGCCGTGCTTTGTAAGGGAGATTGAGTGACCAAGAAAGTTAACCCTGGGTGTCTGTTCACGTTGTCTTCCCAAGAGGTTTCCTCCACCTACTCGCCTCAGAGCAAAGAGGCAATCTGAGATCAAACTGACATCAGCCCTCATTCTGAGCTTGGCACATCTTCAGAGCAGCTACTGTTATTCTGCCGAAAGGAAGTGGAAATTGAGATAAATGTTTCAATACTCGGATGGAAAAAAAAGCCCATTTTTACACCACGTCCCTTTTGAAAACCCACATTCCTTAGAAGCAAAGTTTATTGTTTCCTTTTGTGATAGTTTGCTTTTCTTTTTTCTTAAGACGTGGTATTTAAGAGCGGTAATTGAGTTCAGATTTTAAAATGTGCTGTTTTCCACTCTGCATGTCATTAAAATAAAATATTAGCTTTCATAAAGTTTCTCTGAAAGTGTTTCTTGTGTGCTGTGTTCCGTGGTATGTGGAGTGTCAGCCGAAGAATAGTGGTTGTGTGTGATCTGATGGCGGATGAACATTGATCCTAGAATCTACTAAGGATCTATTATAATTATAGTGTTCAAAATGTGCCTGATATATCCTCATTTTGTTTGTAATGTTGTCACCTGTGTTTAGCAAATGTAGTTTACTTCCACAAAATCACTGTCTCCTAGTAGTCTTGTCTTTTCACTAAGAGCCTGGCTATGACAGTTTGCAGGGTAGAAATAGCTATCGGAAGAGCCATGAATACTCGATGTAGGGTTTTGTCGCACATTTGTATTTGAGGACATTTGTTATTTTCAGAGCAGTATTTGGGTTTGAAACAGCGAATGTCGGTCTTTTCAGAAAGCGTGTTCCAATAGCAAATTTGTTTTACTTTATACCTTACCTTTCGGGTCTTCTAGTGGAACAGTTGGTAATGAATGTCATTCTCTCACCCCATATGCATTAAAAAGGCTCTCACTGTATTTTCTTTTAATGTGGTACATAGAAAATTCACTCTTCTATCAGATTAGCGTGGAAATGAGTTTCACAGTGGGTCTTGGAGTTGGGTACAAAGATTGAAGTGCATTTGAATTTTAAATTTGCAAACCTAACATTGTTGCTTCCCCAAAGTGCTCCATTCTTTGTTGGCTCCTTCAAGTTTACAGGGTTACTATGGGATACTGTTCGGTATCTCAGAGAATCCTGGTTGAGCTCCTTTTTCTTAGCTGTGATCTAATTGATATTCTGATATTTCCTCTAGATCAAGAGGAATGGTGTTTGGACCAGCCAATTTAGGGGAAGATGCAATTAGAAACTTCATTGCAAAACATCGTTGCAACTCCTGCTGCCGGAAGCTCAAACTCCCGGGTATGCCCCAAACAATTCTATTTTTCTCTAAGTAAATCTCTCATTGAACAACATCCATTGTAACCTGGGATAGAGGAGAAAATCTTAATCACATTTTTATCTCATTCGTAGTCGAGGCCTGACTTTCTGACTGCAAATTTTTCAAGTCTCTAAAGGGATTAAAAAGACAGGGATTTACTTCAGGTTCTGCCAAAATGTGATAAAACAACGTTGGGCCCAGTACTTGTCACAGTCTCTCCAAGGCAAGAGTTCCACCTACGTAACTAGGGTAAAACTGGACCGAGGCAGGTCTCTGTTCCCTGCCCCGCCCCCGTCCTCTTTGGGTCCTGTGTGGTACCCACGGTATTTCTAGTCTGTTCTTATTTACTCATTGGATACTTGGGAAGGTCAGGTATGGAGGGAAACAGCTATCAATTAAAGGAGTGCTTTTGACTATAAAACCCTGCCAGTTTAAACATACATTGCAAGGTATATTTTTAAAATCTGATTTGATAACATGGCACACTTTCTGTGAAACTAATATAGTCAGCACAGAAAAATATTCCTAACATAAAAGCAAGCGGCTGGAGGTCTGTGCCCCCCAGACTGGCAGCCCCAGCTCTGCTGCATTCCTTCCTTTTATCTCAGAAGGGATGCTTTATGTCTGTCTCGGCCGGCTCCCTCTTTTCCTTAGGTCATACCACACTTGTCCTTAGAATGGAATTTCACGTCTTTGAAGCTGAGTAGCCCTTCCTGCCTTATCATAAATGATCATACCCTGAATTGGAAATCCGTAGAAGGTCACCATCCATTGTAACTTGGGATGGAGTAGGTGTAAATTCACAACAAAGGAGGGCAATTTCTAATCTTGTTGGAGTCAGAGGTGGGAGTCGCTCTTGTGGGTGTGATGTAGCAAAAGACAAGGATGTGGGGCAGCTTCCAGTTCCCATGGGAAGCAGCTTGGCAGCCAGGGGTGGTGGTAGTGGCGGTGACGGTGGTGTGGGTGGTCAGGGTGGGGGCGTCAGGTTGGAGCAGCACAGAGAGGAGGGCCATCACTCTCATCGGGTGGCTGCCCAGGACTTGTTCCCCCAAACCACACAGCAGAACTGGGCCAAGAGATCAGTCCCAGCACCCTGGCCGAGCTGCCCCCTGGCCTCCCCCGTGCTCAGCAGGGGCTGGGCCCTGTGGCGTGGGGCCTCCAGGTAAGGGTCCTACGGGAGGCGGAGGCGACACACGTCAGTCACCCCAGGATTGCAGGCTGGAGTCCAGCCCCTAACTCAGTGCCCTCAGGCGCCAGCCTCTTCCCAGGTCTTATTCATTGTTCCCCTGGGCAGGGTAGCTTCCCATTGTTGAAGACACAGGAGAGAAACATCTAGTCAGCCAGGAGAGAACCAGACTTGAGGCATAACTCATTGCTTCCATCCTCTTCTGTATGACTGAGATTTTTTTCTCTTCTTTATTTCTCTTTTTACCTACCATGGTGGGTCTTGAGTGAGTAATTCAATAATTCCTCCATTTCTGGACCTAATCCTTTCTTTCAAAACCTTAGTTAACACATTTACATGGAAATAAGGAATATCCTTGTTTACTCAAACATTCGGAAATTTGAACTAAAAAAAGTTTCGTATAGAAAATAGGATTGGGGTGATTTTTCTTTTTGTTTTATTATGTTTTAGTTAGTTTTTTTAAAGAGAGGTAGTTTAGGATAGTGTATAAGAGCATGGGACCCATAGGTTGAGCTCACATTACAGAATTGCTTTTCACTAGTTTGACCTTGGGCCTCAGTTTTCTAATCTGTAAATTGGGGGTAATAGCACCTATCTCATAAAGTTTGTGTGAGGATTGAAGTAATTTATGTATGCGTTCAATAACTGTTGGTTATTATTAAGTTGTAATATGTATTAGTTTTATATCCAGATAATCTTCATTTAATGTTAAAGAACAATACACAGAATGCACATTTAAGGTTAACTGATTCCATCAACATGACAAAAAATGGCACGCAAACATTGTTTTTAAAATTAAGCATGCTCTACCACTGAGCTCTACCCCACCCGCTATACAAACATTTAAAGCACATTCTCTTCGTACGTTTCTCCCCCGAGGTTACCCTTAGTCATGATTTCTTTTGATAATTTCCCTGTCAAAATTAAGAAGGAGGCTTTAGATTTGATGATTGGTGGAAACTTTCATAGGTGGGGCCAAGCCTGAGGTACAGCTTTGTGCCAGAAGACTGACCGCTGACATCTCGAGCCCACCATTTTGGCTGAGCTCTGCCACCATTCAGTGGTGAAAATGCCCTGTTTCCAGTCTGGCGTCACTTAACTCTGGCCAGGTCATGTCTTATAGGGCACCATGCATTGAATCAATGCATTGAATCAATCTTGCCTCCCTCGCCCCAGTGAACACAGCCTAAAACAGCACTGGGGAGTTAGAAGCACATGTGTGCAGGGTGAGGGGATGGGGACAGAGCTTGGACACAGTCAAAGGCTTGAGCTTCACGTATCAGTGGCCAGAAGAAGCGGATTCCTCTCTGAGCACTGGCCTAAAGTCCTAGTCCGATCAACTGTGTGAGTATTGGATTCCTAAGGACTCCCTGTAACAGTCTTAACTGTCTTCCTTGCAGATTTAAAAAGAAATAACTATTCCCCTGGAAGGATAAATTCTGCCCTTGGACTTGAAATCAAAATAGAACCAGCTGTGGAGACTCCAGCAGGGGAAGAAGGCAGTGATTGCCCAGAAGACCTCACACAACTGTGAAAAAGGGAGCTGTAAGAGGGTGACAGCCCTTCCCCTCCCTTCTGTGGACTCTGTGGTAACATAGATGGATTGAGGTGACATTGATTATGTCAGAGCCTTTGCCAGGATGGCCTTACCCAGAGGGCCTCCTGGGACGCGCCTTCTGAGCCTCATGTCTCCCCTGCCCGAGGGCCTCACTGGTGTGTGACGCACGGGTTCTCCTAGATACTGCCCTGCGTGCAGGGGGCTTGGCATCTGTCTGTCATCCTCAAGTTGCACAGGAAGACTCTCGGATGAGTCAGCCACGGGTGCTGCTCCTTCATACCTCATTGCATTAGCTGGTCACTTAGAACCCTTGGAGCAGCATGCTGGGCACTAAAGAACCAGGCAGATGAATTTAATTTATTTTCTCACTGTGTGTGCATCACCTCACCACGTATTGTGTTTATGTATATATGTACATAAAAAAGTTCCTTGATTTCCTCCTCTCTCCTTTCCAGCAGCATAGGGCTTTGAATAGAGGCAGAAAGGAAAACAATGAGCGAGGGTGTCTTTGCACAGACTGGAGCACCCTCCTGCACAAAGTAACCAGAGAGAAGTTAGCATCCTGGTGAAATCTAGATGGTTTTGAGGTATTGTCAGTGAATCAAATGATACTTGGGGATTTCAGTGTTCTCTGAAAGAAAGAAAAGAGAAATCAAACCAAATGCCCTTGCATCCTTTTTTTTTTTTTTTAAAGAAATGTTTTCCCTTTACTTAAGCTCAGGGACGCTTTTGGTTAGACAGTTGACTCAGCCAGCCTCTAAAGCATCACCCCCTTTTTCAAAGCTTTGTATATAATATTGCAAGCGAAATTACTTTATGTCAGGTCTCAGAGGAAAGATGGGGTTTCTGAATGAAAACAGGCTTCATTGCCGTGCAGAGCTCTGGTGGCTTCAAGAGGACTGGAATGTGTATTTTAAGTCTGACCTGAGAACATATAATGAATTTCAGAGGCCTGAAGGGAGGGTCCCAGAAGCCACGCTGTACAGCATGTCTGGAGGACCAGTTGTCCCTCTTTTGTACTTGCCGGGGGTGCCCTACCTCAGAACAAGCATGAGCTTTTCACACAGGGAGGGGTCGGAGAGCTGGGGGAAGCTTCTCCCCTCTCCCCCTGCACCTCCTTCCCTCGTTACGAAGTGTTCCAACCCACCAGCAGCAAATCTCCTGGGGCTGAAATTTTCAACTTAGCCCTTACATTAGCTGGCTTGTTTTCTAAATCCACACTCCTGCATTGTTAGGTTGCACTTAGGGGACGTGTAGTAGCCCAGGGATAGCAGGATGGAAAGCCAAGGATTTGGTTTGCCAAAGATCGTGTCTGATTCTTGTGAGCTGCACAAGGGCTGAGTATGGCCATTAGAACTTTTGGGGGTGGTGGGAGGTGGGAAATTTGCATGACTTCTTGACTGGCAATGAGGATAAAATGTTAAGGCTTTTTTTCAGGGTTTAATTGCTTTATCCTATTCTGCAAATCAGTAAGGGATCTTTTGGTACTCACTTTAGAGCCATGCCCAACTACGGAAAGAGGCAATTTGCCTACCCAGGGCCAAACGAAAAGCATTAATTCACTGGCCAAGTATTTCTTACCTGGAATGGAACTTGAAAAAAATACATTTTGATTTTAATTTTCTGTGTTGTGATTTTTTTCTCTCTCTTTTTAAGAAAAATCACTAGAATAACATTTTAAAAAGATGAACTGCTGGGCAAAGGTCACTGTGGGGTCACTTGCATGCAGATACCAAGGTGACAGTCTTGAATTTGATTCAGGACCACAAATGAATGAATGGATTCATTCTGTCAATTTTATTCAACAGATGTTTATAAATGCCTTCTCTATAGTGTGTAAGCAGTGAGGATGCGGTGAACATTAGCATTTCCTTGCCCTCAAAAAGCTCTATGGTCTCCTGTTTCTTTTGTTGTTGCTGTTGTTCCAAGTTTGGATTCCAGTTAGTGCTAAAAAATTTGACTTCTGGGCAAATGTGGAGTCCAGAGATGTGTCCCATACCCTACCTGCCAGTGGGTAGTAGGTTCAAACTGGGATAAGAGAATTAGGGCGAATAAAGAGACATAGTTAGGGCTGGTTTTAGGAACTACTGAGGAAAAACGGACTGCGTAATCCTTGTATGAGTCCGAAGCCCATCTCACAGGTGGGATCTGAGTCTGGGGACGAGAGAAGTGGCCAGATTCCTGGGTGTCCTTCCTGAAGGAATCCTGTGCACAGGCCTTCCTTCCCATGAGGCTGGACGTTCCCCATGATATCTTAGAGCTTCTAACATCTCCGGGGGAGTGAGCTTAGATTACAGTTTTGGGTGTTTCTCAGCCTATTATTTTCTGTGGCTTTGCAAAACAAGTGCTGGGTGACTCAAACTTCCCAACCATTTAATCAAAGTTAAAAAAAATTGTTGTTGTTGTTGTTTATTACTGTTTTAGGTGAGACAGATCACTCAGGTTCTAGAAGCCATGACACAGATGCTCCTGTCATGGCTTGCTGTCTTTCTCCATCAGTCACCAGTGTCTAACACAAAGCATGACACATAATAAGCTTTTGACATTATCTGTTGGAAGAAATAATAAAACCTTCAAATGATAATGGATTTCATCCAATAGTTAATAAATCAGATTTGCATTTTTAATCTAGAAGGGAATGATTACCAATTCCTTAAGACCCAACACAATTCTTTTGATCTCTCTCTGTTTTAATTTTCCAGGAAATAGCTTTTAACAACCTACACCTTGTCTATTGAATTCTCCACCAGGGCTTGCCCTTACCGTCCTGGCGATAATACCAGGGTACCGTCCTTCTTCCTGGTGACTATTGAAATGAGATGATAACTTCCCAGAAACTGCCAAGAAATAATCATCACTTTATTACCCTTTGAAAAGAAGATTGATAGAAAAGTCATTTGGAAGATGGCTCATTACCATGCCCTCGTATGATTTCTTTATTCACATCTCTCCAAAGCATGAGAAAGGGCGGATTATTCTCTGAGGTCAGAATTTGAAGGCTGTGTGTTTGCCTCTTGGAAGTCTTGGTATTTAATTTTCTGTAGTCATTTCTTGGGCAATTTTCTAAGAAACTAGTTGAAGCTAATTTATCATAAGTTAAAGTCAAATGACAGAAAAGGTTTTTTTCCCCCCTTAACAGCATTTGATTCCACAGAGGTTAGCTTCTGAAGGAAAATGAGACTTAAATAGCATTTCAAATCTCCAGCCACATGGGTGAGTACACAGAATAGAAAGGGTTCTGGAAACCACACTGATTTTTTTATTTAGTACAATTATTATTTTGTGATTTTTCTTCCTAGACCTTGATGTACAGATAAAATGTATTTTTTTTTTGTGAAATGCCCTCCTAAAATTAATTAGTTAAGTTGCTCAATTTTTCAAAGACAGACTTTTAGTCTTCAAGGGATAACAACCCTTGGTCTCCATCCTTGGCAAGTTTGGTGTAACTTTATATAATTCTTTCAACCTTTGTCTTAATTCCCAGCTCTGAAATGGAGATGAGATACTTACCTTTTCAAACAAAGGTGAACAATAATGAGAGAGCATTTATAAAGTCCTTTGAGAAATCTCATTTAAAAGGCTTTCTTGTGAGTATGGGATCCAGTTCAATAAATAATAAGGGGTTTTCATTTTTGATACTATGGGATCATTATTTAATGTTTACAGAGGATGCTCAGTGGACGTGTTTCAGTATAAGCACCAAAGTGATTTCTCCTTTCTGAGGGGAAAAGGCTCATTGCTCCCTTTCTGTTTTGAAGCTTAATTCAGTTAGTTTAAAATCAGGATGTTCACCATTTCACAGTGTCTCCTATTTATTTTGTTTTTTGATGGATTTAGGTTTACACAGCTAATGTCTTTTGCCATCTTCTGCCCAAAGAAAGCCTTCCAGGACAGTAAAGCCCAAATCTGGCACCGTGATTGGTGACATTTTTAGGAATTGAAAGAGAGCAGGTTTAGAATCTTGATACTTGTAAAGCTTGATGTTTTGCAAAAAATTTAATTAATGCTGATTTAGATTTTGTCAGTATAGGGCTGAGAAAATTCTGGCCTTTAGCTTGCCAGCACCTTTTAGTTACTAACTTCCTTTAGAATTCTCACCTTCCCCTAGTGTTTTTTTGTTTGTTTGTTTTCATTTTGAACCTTTAGAAATTCCATTCGCAATATTAGCCAGAAAGTCCTTAGAATCGTTATGGTGAAACCCTTTGGCTAATGACTGTCCACTTGTGGACATAATGACTGCCTTTCACTGGAGGAACTTGGGGGCATCGTCACTGGTGTCAC